AAATGTCTATTTAACAATTCTTTCACCTATAAATAAATAATCTACGATATTTTAAATTTCCATCCAAGTTCACTCCACTTTCGTTACGATTTGTATTACTTTTAGTTTATTCATGAATTTCTTCATCAGTGTTGATGTTTCGGCACCGTATGTTAATGCAGGTTAATACATTGTTTAAAAAGTTTTACTTGTAAATATATTTGGATATTGTTTTTGAGTGCCTAGCTATGCTTTCTATGCTTTCCGAACGCTGGTCTTGTTGTCTCCACCTGGTGTAATTTTGGTGATCCAATAAAATATAAGTCTGGACGTTTTGTATTAGCTCGTTTTTATTTGAATTCGCGGGTCATCTTCGTACATAGTTTAAGTTTTTTGTTAGGGTCATGTGCAGACCAGTACTCGAGGCCTCGTTTTTCAGCTCTGTGTAATAAACACTATATCGTCTACGAATCTGAGCCGACTGAGGTTTTCCATTTATCGAAATTCTTTTGCTTTCTCAAATGTAGTCTTTTGAAAACATCTTCTGACGCTGACGCAAATGTTTTATTCCCAGGTTTACTTAATAGATTGGTTTTGGCTTGCAGCTGGATAGTGGATGTTATATATGTACTCAAGCATTTTGATAGCTCCATAATCAATTCTCGCATTTCTTAATGCCTCCATAATTGCCCATGAAATCCACAAATGCTAGACAAATCTTGAAATTATACTCAGTAGATTTCTCTACAATATCTGCTGATTCTATTGCTCTCTTAAAGCTGGTTTATTCTATCGATTGGTAGTCGTCAAGTTTATTACTCAACTGATTTGTTATACCTTAATAATTGTAAATTTGTATATCTGACAGAGTTCTCTAAACTGGCTCTATCTCCCTTTTTAAACAATAGTGCCATAATAGAGTTTTCCCATTTCTTTGGTATTTTTTCTTCCAGCGTACATTTGTTAATTAGATGACATGACATACATAAATATTTCCACTTGCTGCTTTAATCATCTCTTCAGCACTTGGAACTTTCTTATCTGCCACATGTTTAAGTGCACAATATCTTTTGTAATATCTGGTATATTTTCGGAACTAACATTTATTATTTTTATTTTATGGGCGGCAGTCTTCTCGTTATTTTAGGTTTTTGTATTGTAAAGATCTCTGTGGAGGCCTTCTGATATTTTCACAATTTCGTTTTTGTCCCTTGTTCCTTTAGTGTTTATGTCTTTCAAAACGAAAATACACATCTCTATTTTTCTGGATCAGTTTCTCCACTTCTGCTTACTAGTGTTTATTTGCGACTTTTCTCACTAATATTTTGCAAGCGTCCTGAATTTTGGGTAACATGGTACACCGAAGAAGGAGACCTAGTGAGATGAAATCAATATGTTAAAATTACGACTAAAATGATACATTATGATTAAATGATTATAGGGTTAACTGAGTCATGGAAGCGTACCGCCTATCACTTTATGTAGACTCTACTAAATGCTAAGGACTCACGACAAATAACGCACGCATCTGTACAACTGATTCCCTAATTGCTTCATGTCTTATTAAAAAATAAAACTAATTCATTATAATAAAAAGAAACAATTGTTTTGTGGTTAAATATAACCGTAAATATTGAAAATATTCACCCTTTTGTTCAAGGCACATGTTCACTCTCTTTTTAATTTCAAAAATCTCTGTAACATCCTTTCGTCAATGCTTTGCACCCCTTCTTCAATTTGATGTGTTGCAACAGGAACTCCTGATTGCTAATACAATCTTGTCAAAGACGTTTGCAGATTCTGTTCGAGTCGTCTTAAATCATCAACAACTTCTTCGGATACTGAAGGTCTTCCAAGATATTTCCCTTTGTTAACACTACCAGTTCGAACAAATCTGTTGATTACGCTATAATGTGAGCTTCTACCCATATTTCTTGAATTTGCCATTCAAGGTATTTGGCCAGATATTCTTCCTTACAGGCGGTTACAGAATACAAACACTCTCGGTTTACGAATGCACTATTGCGATAATAAGACATAACATGAAAGTGTGAACCATTTTCACGGTCTTCGTTTCCTAGCACAAAAACAAAATTTTCGTACGCATGCACCAAGAGTTTCGAAAACAACTGTTTTCTTGTTTTGAGCTTAGATCAACGAGAATTACTATAATTCACACTTGAAAAACGTTATAACAATAAAAGCGATGACTTTAAATGACAGGTTATAAATGATATTAATGGCAAGTGAGAACTGTTATAATGAGGCATGATTTCAGCGAAGCGAATCATTTATAAAAACCCTGCATATGAATCTGTTTAGAAGTGAATTCAAATGGTAACTACTTACTAGTAAACAAAAATCGGAATTATTAAATATTCATTTCCCCTACAACAGTTTCCATAAGAAGATCCCCATTTCCATACAAACTTATGTGAAACATGCCCACTTAACTATGGGTTTCTTTGCTCGCCGCCGTGCCAAGAAACCGCTGATTTCAACCAAAAATTGAGCCTTCCCTTTAGAATTTGCAACAGATCATACGTATTAACTGGAACGTAAAAAAACGGAAAACGGTGTTATTTTCGGAAGTTCAGTCTTTTTGTGGATCTGATGGAGTTGTCTCGGTACATTATCCTATTTCCTGTAAACCGACGATTGAATCCACAGTATGTAATAATCTGGCGTTGCTTTTTCAGTTTAGACTTGGAGTCCATTTTAAAAGTGGATGGTACTGTAGACAGATGTCAGTACGTTGGTGATAAACACATAGAGATAAACATTTCAACATGACGTGGATTTTTCAACTCAACTAAGTTAATACTAAGTTCACTAGTCGAGATGATGATTTGGCCTCACTAAAAGCAACCCTATTGAGAATTTGTGGTATGAAGTAGACCGTCGGATTCGAAAAAATCTTCTGAATAATATAAAAATCCTGATGAATTGCTGCTATTAAACCAGTGTAGATCAATAGCTCTTCGGGCTATATAGATCATTTAATGTTAATGTTATCGATATGAAGGCAGTATGAAGAATTCTTGAAACATCGTTATTATGACAAAATATTAATCCATTTCTACAAAATAATTGTCTATATTTTTGTTTCTCTACTCTATTTGCAATAATTATTTAATACACTTTAATTACTCTTCACAAGCATTTCAGCATCATATTTATAAAGGGTGTCGCGTCCAAGTTTGGACATAGGGAATTAATGTGGAAAATTGGTTTTTATTTTATAATATCTCTCCAGATTATTTTCAAGCTATTATTGAGCGATTCATTTGTGGAGGTAAACTAGGCCAATGGCCAGTATTTTTTTCAAATCGATGCATAGCGCCCATTCACTACAAAAAGGCTTAAAAAAATTTATTTTGAAATTAGCACTCGGTCCAATTAGTCGCGAAAGGTTTCGTCTTAGTTCGACGATCGCGTCCTTAAATTAACCATGGAAAATCGAAATACTTACTGATTAAATTAACCATTACAGAACAAGCAGGTTCTCGTTTAATCGCAGGAGAACATAGCTTGAATAAGATTTTAATAACAAAAACTCACTAAAATCGACCGGCACTAGCAACATAATCTCATAAAATATTTTTTTTCACTAGCAGCCTGGACGCATGCAAATGTCGACTCATTTAGTGGTAGCAAATTCAACTTTTGCTACCACGGGTTCAAAAAGAAAAATTGAGGTTATGTACGCAATGTTTGATGTGATTATTTCTTAAAAAATGAACAAATGTGTGCTACAAACATTACTTGAGTATACGCATGGTAGTTGGTAGACGGTAGAAGATAAAATGATTAACTCAGCGACAAGTATAAACGGTTTTCTTTGTGTTGAAGATTTAGATCAAGTTTGATTAGAAATCAAAACAAAATCACGTTGCGTCAAAAAATTGAACGTTTATTTTTCAGTTTATTGTCTTATGGTTTCTACTAGTGAAAAAAATAGTATATTAACCACGGTTGCAAAGCCACTTCTAGACCTCGCACTTAGAGCCCTCGACGCTGCGCGTCTCGGGTTCTAATTATTGCGCTCGGTCTAGAATGCTTGGCTCTGCAACCTTGGCTAATAATATACTATATGCAATTTGTGCATTTATTTCGTTTAATTTGTCCTACAATAATTTTTTTTAATTGTGATTTCTAAGTGACAAGCGAGGAATAATTTCTAAATTCACTTTGAAGTTTCGATTTTCTATGGCTAATCCAATCGGACTGAGCGCTAATTTCAAAATAAGGTTTTTAAAGCCGTTTTATTAGTTGTAATACAACGATTTGAGAAAAATACTAGCCAACAGCCTTCGTTTAGGTACCTACACAAATGTATCGCTCAATAATAGTTTTAAAGGAATCTTAGACGATTTTATAAAATAAAAAGCAATTCTCCATGTTAATTTCCTATGTCCTAACTTGGGTAAGACACCCTGTATGCAGTTCTGTACAGTGCACTAGTTTTAACCCTTTCATCTACTTTTGGTCGGTACCATACTTCTATGTAAATAACACATGTAATATATATTATTGTTATTAATATTATTACAAGCTTAATTACATAGCTTTACTTGACAAAGAATAAACCGAATAGAACCTGTTTACGACATTGTTATAATTGCGTCAAGCACCATAGTTAAGTGTGGACATTCGAATTTGACCGTGTGTTAAACTCATTTCTCAGATTGAAGTTAATTTTTTTACGACGTTATAGTTTGACGAAATTGTAAAATGTTGTAAATACAGCCCATCTGAAATATTTCCCAAGCTTTCTTACCAAATCAACAATTGCATAAACGGCACTTAAAAAGATCTCCGATTCCGACATTTTATTTACAATACCTCTTCTTGCAAAAAACTATTTCCGCCTAAAATTCTGTTGTAACTAAAAGTCGCATTCGAAAGATTTAACAGATACGTCCTCTTCAAATTCTTTGCTTTACGCCATCCGTACCTGCAACTTCCCTTACGACAACAGATAAATCTAACGAGTTGTTTATGTCTGATTTGTGTCTTAGATCTTCCCGGCAGACAGAACGACAAATTTTCAACAGCCGAATACCCATACGTTCGCGGAAATGGAAACAATCTCAGTTACGACGACGACGACCGTCTGCCATATTCTCGGCGCTGTTCAGAGCGCCTCGAAAACGCGTTGGATCAAATTCGTCGACGGCAGATCGCGAAGCAGAAGACCCTCCATCTTAATGGGTATTCCTTGCATCAGCAGCTCCGATCTGCGCCCTACGACATGTACGTAACCGACATGCGGGTTCGACTGCCCACATCCAACAGCTGGGTTAGAGTGGATCGGTGCAGGTTCAATCCTCGCAATTCCACTCTGGAGACCCGCTTACTGTTCAATGATCTCACAATCAGCGGCAAAGTGAATTTGTTCAACGGCGACATGCTACAGAGAGCGCCCATTGATCCTAATCCGGAGGATTCTTGCAGCATGATTCTGAGGCTGAGGAGGGCGGGCATTGGGTAAGTTCTTGCGTTATTGTCGAATTCGAGGAGGAAACGCCGCTCTCTCTAACAATAGCGGATTTAAAAACAATTTCCCAGGTTAATTGGGAGGAATTGGCTTGCATTTATGTAATTATCGATTAAGATCAAGTTCCGACACCATTTCCCACAACTATGAGGCAACTTGTAAAACTATTCGCAACTCTCCCCTTTCGTCACACTTTTTCGGGAGCTAATTATTGCAAACATCCGCACGCAAAATTTACATACAATTAACACTTTTCATTAATCATAATGATAAATCTTCGCTGTGACGTTTCCCCAAAATTGCATCAATTTTCTAGTGTCTAAATTACTAATTAATTTATTATGTCTCTCGTTAGATTTCACACCGAGCCTATTCGAAGAGAAAGGGGCCAATTTAACGTGAAAACAGATTCACATTTCCTTGAACCTGGATTTATAAGTGTGTACGCGTATGGGTGTGAACCGAGACTTCGAGAACATCGTCGTGGATTCAGGGATGAGGAAGAAAATGAGGAAATGTCAAGAGAGATGGAAGACATTTTTCTTAAAGGAATAAGATCTTTACTCACTTCATACATGCAGAAAGAACTACAACCAGCCATCAAAGAAACACTGATGAGAAACATGGGCTACACTATATCATATGGTTAAATATTTGTCAGTTAATATTTATTGTATAAATTTGTATAGTTTAAACCTTTAAGTTACTGTATGTCTTGTTGTTTTTCTTCATTGATAAATTAAAGTTTCTTTTAAAACTTTATTATTTCAGTCATGGTGATCGTTGTTTCCTCCAGTATTTAAGAGAAGTAATTATAAAAAATAGAAACCAAAGTATTTTTCTGACGCTTCATCGTTAGAAAACAACAATTATGTTCATTAATGTTGGTTTTCAGTCTTTAGTATCCTTAATGAAGGTAAGTACAATAATTTCTAGCAAGCAACACCCTTCCTGTACCACTAATTTAACATTTATAAACTTCACTTTACGAATGAACTGTAAAAGTCGACATTTTTTCGTCTTTGTATGAGACCTATATCAATTTAGCTGTTTTATCTAACTTAAAATTCATCATTTTAATGTTTCAAAATCTGTTCCTTATTTATTATTTTTAATATACAAGATTTCTTTTCATAAGACTGCTGTATTCCAACGTATTGGACTTCAGTATGTAAATATAATTTTATTTAAGCCAATGATGTAACAATTTATGTATTTTAAAATGTTCATAGTTCAATTTTGAAAGCAAAAAGTGTGTTTCATTTTGTGTTTTGTTATCATGACTAAAATTTGCAAAATTTTCTGTGGCGATGCATTTACAAAATATTGGGATCTATTACAATTAAGCAAAATGTCTAAAGTCCGTTATAGGCTTTGACTTGACAGCGTTCAAAACCCGTAAGCAACACTTTTTATATGAGAGAATTGGCGGCGGTGTTGTCGGTTATCCAAAAACCTACCGATTTCTGAAGAACCTGATGCATGAATCTTGCACAAACTATCATAAAGTTTTTATTCGTACTAGAGTTTCATTTTTATATATTGAAATTTCATAGTAAATCGAATTATTTTTTGAATTTTCATAAATTTAAAATTGCGTTTTTTGGTTTTTTATCACATCATATTTCAAAAACTATACAAAATTTTGTCTTAGTTTCTTAATTGTAATATAACCAAACAATACTTATTTTAACAATGTAAACTTTACTGCACTAGTGTTTTTAAATTTCTGCCAAAAAAATATTTCTTTGTGACTTGCACAAAAGGTGTATTATTAAAGTTTTCAACATATCAATTTTTTTAATTATTGAAGATTTTAAAGTCTACAGTAGCGGTCATTTCTACGGAACCACTCGATAAAAAGTCAAGTTGATAGCCCTGTCATCTAGTACTTTACGCCGAACGCGGTTGGTAGCGGTAGTTGATATGGCAATCGAAACTAGCACAACACGAATGTTTCGGTTGCCCTCAAATATGCCGCACTGTATCCCGTGCAGACTGTATGTTCTGTTCATCTATTTATTAAAATAAAATATCTACATTAACAATGGGGCCATCTAACCTGTCAAATTTTTGACACATATGTTTTCCCCCAGAAACCCGTCAAGGTCACTTACACCAAACAAATTTTGAAAATTTACACTAGGGAGTGGTTCTATAGAAAAGATCGCAACTTTAAGTTGTAGATTATACTCTAAAATAATTTCTGTAATGAAAAAATGTTTGACAGCGATATTTGTCTTTGAGGTAACAATTTTTAAATTCGAGTCATATCTCGGATGCGGCACATTAACTGAGATGCGACATTTGTGCATTATTTGAGATACAAACTGCTTGCCAACATAGTTAATTGGAAGAATTGTTATTGATTATCTTCATTATTCTAAAAAAAAATCACTGACTGCTAGTACTTTGCCACCTATCAGTTTCAAAATTTTCAATAATGAAAAAACCTGGTTTAATTAAAATTTCGAAATGCGTTCCGTATAGGTAACGAAAGTATTGTTATTACTGTCAAAAATTAAGGCAAAACTTTAAGTAGGTTCTAAAACATGTACGATAAATAGCAGAAAAATGAAAATTTAGAAATATGAAAATTCGTAAAAAATCGGTTAATGGATGTGGAATGACAAAAGATTTTCCAAATTCAGGTACATTTCAATAAATTGTACTCCTATTTTAAAATGATTTGAATGTTATACAAAATTACATACTTACATCTATACTTGTAAATGTTCAAATTTTCGCAGAAACACTTGCAAGGTATAATAACGTTATGTTACCAACGCTGGACAGAAATCCCCGTGGCGCAGTGGCTAAGTCGGGAACAATGAGACCTGCTACTTGCAGTAGTGGGTTCGATGCCGAACTTGACCATTTACTTTTTTTCTAGCATTGGTAATACGCTGCGACTACTTTTCTTTTGTGCTGTGACTAGTATCATTCATGTTGGTGACGTTATTACAAATTTTTTTATTGGTCAAATTAAGAACAAGTCACCCCATTTTCTCGAAATTGTGAAAAACCCGTCTTTATAATAATAATAATGATAAAATGGGAATTATAATATTCAGAACAGTTTGTTCGATTGTGGTTTAATAAATAATTTTGGTCCTGTGTTTTGAGAAGACAAGCTCATTCAAATCAAACTCATTTTTACGTGACATTCTTTGGATGTATAAACAGAAATAAACGCTTGAGCTTCCTAGATTGCTACCTAGTGCTGAAGGACATTTTATCACCTTAGTTATGTGCTTTAAATATATTCTACGTTGGTTATCGTAAAACGAAAATCGTAAAATTAAATTTTATAATTTTTACTTCCCGATCGTAAGCAAAGGAAGTATTGTAATCGAGTGCGTCGGCAAATTCTCTACTTTTACGTTTTCTCGACCTTTCATGACCCCTAGAGTACGAAGAAATAGGTCTCCCGTTTCCGTCTGTCTGTCCGTCTGTCTGTCCGTCTGTCTGCCGTCTGTCTGTCGTCCCGGATTTTTATTAGACAGATAATCTCCGACAGTGCTTGGCCGATTGTTGTCAAATTGTATATTTATATTAGGAATAGCATGTTGATGGTAATACCAGAGAACATAGAGAAGCGACATAGAGGCTGATTTTGCAAAACCACCCTTATTGACATTGGAGTCCTCAACCGCCAAAGGCAAACGTCAAATTTAAATAGTCGATCCCAACAAAAACCTTGCTTCACTATAATTGTAATTCGTGTGACCTGAATGAAAGTGAAGGAAATAGTAAGCAGCTTGTAATATTCTGGTAAATCTAGTGTCAATTTGTCGAAAATAACACGCGTCGTTAAAAATATTATGACATTTCTTCTAGTTACTTTTATTCCTAGTTACAAACAAACACTGCTACCAACATAAATTGAGAAGTCCTCAACCGTCATTTGATTTAAACTATGGCGCTTCTCTATGTTCTCTGGTAATACGCTAACCAAAATTTGTCTGTTTAATCATCCCCACCACTCATGCGATGACGTCACTTCAAAATTGTATATAGTAAACGAGTTTTAAATTGTATAAAATAACATAGTCCTATACATGTAGTTTATGACTCCGAATTGAGTTTTTACCCGAAACGTCCAGATTTTTGGAAAAAAAAATCGAAATTACGAAACATTTTGCGATTTAATTTGGAATCTGCATAACCGAATGCTTTGAAATCTTGTAGATGGTTTACAGTTATGATAAGCATGATAAATTTTTCATCAAAATATATTTACTTGTCCCGTCCAAAAAATTGATGACGTCAGTTCAAAAGTTTGCCGAATAAATCCTATCTAAAATGTACAAAATATGATGAATCTGTACTTGTGATATCATTACATTCATATTTTTTGGATTTGCTTATACAGGGTGACTCAAAAAATGATGAATGGGTGAATTTATTTAATTGATTTAATCAGGAACTACAAAACCGAATGCTTTGAAATCTTGGAGATGTTTTAAAGTTATCATAGGCATGGTAAATTTTTAATCAAAATGTATTTACTCATCCCCACTTAGAAATTGATGACGACAACCGAAAATTTTGCTGAATAAATCCTATCTAAAATGTACAAAATATCATGAGTCTGTAAATGTGATTTATCATTCCATTCATATTTTTTAGATTTGCTTAACGGGTCGCTCAAACAAGTTAATGAATGAGTCAATTTATGTTATTGATTAAATCACGAATAGCTCACTCTATTTTCCCGAAAATTAGGATGTACAACACTGTTATTATTAGTATTACATTGCATCAACATCAATGCATCAACCCAATTTGATAGACACAAAACTTTGTAAAGTAAAGACTCCTTTGAAACATAGGCGTAGCACACTTATTTACATTTACTTTACAGACGTGTTTTGTTGCGCTGACTAGGTTCCGTGAATGTGGTATAGACATGTTATAATCAACCAATTGTGAATTACACCATCAAACATTAAAATAAAATCCAATCTTTTATACAGGGTGTTATTGAAAGGTACGTACAACAAAATTGACAGTTCTTCGCGAGGTATAAGAAGTCTGAAAAACTTATTTTGTGTTATCGAAATTATAAGGGGAAAATTAACCCTTATCCAACTTTTTTAGACGCTACTGAAGGAAAAATAGGTAAAATTAATTTATTTTGGTAAATCCTAGCAACTGTAACAATAAAACTTTTGTCAAAACTAAATGTTGCTATAGAAACGAAAGATGATGTTTTTATCAGAGGCGTGCAACGAATTTGGACATAAATTTTAATAATCTTTATCTCTAAAAGGAGAACACTTTTACCTGAACTATTTTTAACTTTTAGCACCCATACTTCGAGACCAATTGCCGATTTTATTTTGTACGTACCTTTTAATAACACGTTGTATAATAAGTGGAAGTCGAAGCAATAAAAAAGTCTGGACGACCAGCGGTATTGTTTGCAGTTTCTCTGTTTGACTCTCACGTATGCAATCTCAACCAGTGCTATCGCTCGTTGTCTTAAATTAAGAATGTTTATACATAAATGATTTTCAGTCGCCTCTGCTAATACACGTGGCATACGTGAGTAACCTGTTTCGTTATTTTATTGATTATAAATCAATATTCAAGACGACCCAATTTATTTTCTCGAAAATTTGGGAATACAGTACTTTTATTTTCAGTATTACACTACATTTGTCCAAACTGATATACGACGTGTCTTTGCGAAAATGTTGATGACGTCATCGCAATTTTGTTTGCCCCCCTACAAAAATGTAACGAGAAAAAAACATAACAGTCGTCACGTTTCCGACATCGAGGGAAGTACTGTCTAAACTCTTTAGACTAATTTTTTATTGATTAAATTAAGAACCATTTCTAGAAAATGTGAGAATATTTAATTATAATCAAAGAATAATAACCATAATAATAATAATAATCATCATCATGTTCAAAATATTTTGTTCCATTGTGGCTTAATTAATTTAGTCTTCTGTTATGAGGCGACAACTCATTCAAATCAAACAAATTTTTACGTGACATTCTTTCGATGTATAAACATAAACAATCGAAGTTAAAGACGTACATTGATAATAATACACTCTTTTCCGTTGGTTATTTGCTATAAATATATTTTATATTGGCGTACGACTGCGAACGGCATCTCCTTGGAATTTGCGCCCCCGCAGTATAGGTGGTTCGAGGTGTAATTTACACCACTGGTTTTTAATATAAGTACCTACATATAAATGTTATCAGTTATCACTTATCAGAAAAAAAGCGAGGGAAGTTCTGTCGAAATAACCTTTGACCAATTTTTTTAAATTTACATTAATTTCTGCTGCATTTTCTGGCTTAAGCATTATTATGCGGCATTTTTTATGACTCGGTGAATTTTCATACTTTCGGATTATTTGCTCAGCGTGTTTTCAGTTCCAGAAACTTTATGGAAACATTCCTGGCTAAACACAAACAACAAGGTGCACAGTAGACACACCTCGCCTGAGGAAATAGTCTTGGCGATTTCTTTTCCCGCCAATAAAACTTGTTTTGACTTGACGACATCGGAGTCTAAACTCTGTTTCATTCCTTTTTTTTTTGTTGATTGCCCATTCAGAAGGATTACAACTGAGATTGTAAGGGTTTCAGAAGAACATAAACAGGTTGAATCAAATTCATATAAATTTTGTCTTTATTTTACGTTAAACGAAGTCGGTTGATAAACACTTTTCCACTTTCAAATCAGTTGCTGAAGAAATGAAGAACGACTAAAATAAAAGTCTCAGTCGTAATTTGAAGAACAATAAGTTATTGCTTTTAAACAGTTGAGTACCTACTCTTTTTCATACCGATGGCCACTCAATCTTCGGCCGCTCATATTTTTATTTAATTTAAAGACATTGGCAACACACTACTTAAACCATACACGTATCAACAATAAAGTAAATAGGAAACTAACCATTTTTTCCAATATAGAGTAGCCACAACGTGCAATTGGCTGACTACAACACTGGTTACTTAAGTATTACATTTCCGAGATAAAATTCTTTTTCTCAATAACTGTACAACATACAAGACCTACACAATAATGTAAGACAAAACTGCTCCTGAGACATAATTAAACCTCAACGGTGACGCGATTAAAACCGTTTCTGAAAAATATAGGGTGGTAAGTTTCAAGAATTGACCTTAAGTTTGCAGGTAAATTTTGAAATCAATAGATAGTTGTGGGACGATGTATAACTACAGTTTGCCGCCCCTCAAAATTTGCCACATGGGCCACTTATGTTAATCCAGAACTGCATAAGGAAGAAGTTTGCAATATTGTAAAAATCCGAGTACCTATAATATGACTATGATATCCGAATGAGATGAACAAGCGGCAATATCAACTGCGAAATTAACTGTAAAATTTGTCAAATTTACAGTAGGAGTTTGATAATTATAGATAAAAATATTTATTTTCAGTTGAATTAGTTCATTGTGAAGATTGGTGATGATCATCATTGTGATTCGAATAAAAATTCCTCTACGGTATAGGCAACCAAGTAAACACGAATATTTACTCGTAAAATTTTCCAAATCTAGATAACCGATGCAGCAAGAGTTCTTACAATTAGAAGTGGCTTTCTATTGGGGTCGTGAGGGTTTGACACCCACACACCCGTAAAGGTCAAAACATCAAAAAAATCTTTTTTTTCAGAAAAAGTCCCAGACACTTCTAAATTAAAATTTTACCGCACTTGTACACTATTGAAATTGTTTCTTGTAAACACACACTGTAGTTTGTAAATATGTGGTTATAACATGACGTAGAATTAAATATTTATTTGTGCGGTGTCCTATACATTTTTTTAATTATTACTGTTAAAATTAAACAAGGTTCAATATTCTAAATGTAGATATTATTCTTGCAATCTTATAGGAAAATTTCATACGAGCGAAGTATTGTTTGGAGGATAAATTTAAACTGATTCTACATAATACAGCTCCTGACAAAACTCTCTTCAAGTGTTCATCTACAAGACTAACAACTTCGTCGAACTTCAACGAAAACACACCTGACAACTACTTTATATAAGACATTCAAAACCCGACACAGACGCCCACGCATGCATACCTCCTACAGGTCGAACGGAAACATCATCTTGATTTGGTAAAAGCAACTTCACTGGAAATTAAATTCTCATATCATTAGGCTATATTTTAGCAACTAAATTTACTGATTGAATAAACATGGATTTTTTAAGGTCTGCAAAGAACGTTGTCCTTAAGTAAGTATTAATAAACGAAAACAATATAAATTGTCAGTCTATTCCTTCACGTTAATATACATAACAAAAAAAAAAACGACATATATTATTTATAATAATTACTGAACACATCTACCACTGATCACAGAGACAATATCTACAGAACTTAAAAAAGTTCGTGACTAAAACGGTAAAATTTAATCATCTTCTCGCTGGCTTGCCAGCAACTTACAAATTGTTTCATAGGTGCTAAAATATAAAGCAGTTGTAAAAACTGCTTTGAGAATACTCGGGGAAAGACCCTTAAAAAGTCCCGAAAATCCTTCAACTTCATATATCTTCACAAGGCAGTCATAAAGACCACTACACTTGAAAAATGCCCCAAAAGAACTACGACCGTGTTCGAATCCCTGTATTTGCATTCTTTTCTTGGCTAAATCAAGTGGATATACTGCAGTCTTCCCACAGAAACCAGCAAAACTGCCTGACAGAAAACTGCTCACAAATGTTGTATCTGTGGTATCTGTTAAATACTTGTAAAAATTATTAAAAAGTCTATAACACATAAACTGCACTCCTCCATGAGGGGCTATTTGAAAAAATGTGGGTAACATGCCTCTATATAAAGCAAAAAAGCCTTCATTTCTTACAATTGTAGTGAAAGCTTGTGTAACACTTGAGTATACTTTCTGGTGTTCACTTTGGGCAACAAGTCTTGTCCTTACAACATCAAATGGAAATGATGCAGCTGTAGCGGTACAACCTGCGATTATAAATGTACATTTATATCTTTTATATAAATTACAAATATTACCTGCCACAGCTCCACAAGTAAAATTTATAACAGGATAAAACGATGGGGACAGATCGAATGTTGCAGCTTTCTCTGTTAATACTTCAAATGACCAAAACTGCACAGTTCCGTAACTCACGGACAAGAACTGAGCAGGAATATGTCCTTTCCAAAGAGCCTTGACACCTTCCTCTTGTATTATTAATTTTGTTGCATGAAACACTGAATGATACTTTGACGAACTGCTCCGCAATATCGGTTCCACTTGAAGTTGAAATCTGATTTTTAACACATCCAATGGTTGTGTTATCATTCGAGTTATTACACCTGAGCCTGCTCCAGCTATCAGATAATCTAACTGCGTTAGTTTTCTTTGTCTATATTTACTATATCCTACCATTCCTTGCTAAAACACTTATGGAACAGCAGATAAAACTTTAGTTTTCAATTAAAATGTTACATTTTGTACCAATATATTGTATGTTCACAAAAATTTGTATTTTCATTTTTCTTTTTGAATACCCATCATTAGTGACAAGCAATGACACTTGACTGACATTTACGTAACCTCAAATGTCACACGGCAAATACGACATTTGCACGTGGTTCTGCAAACAACATAAATGATGTGAGTTTGACATTGGCAGTAGGCGAACAAATTTTTTATCTTGCAGAATTAAAATTTTGCGGGTTTTTTATCACAAATGTCGTAACTACCGGTAACTACATTCTGCAAAGCGCATGTACCAAACGGCAAACACTTGTTTAAAATAACTAGCCATTAATTAAAATTTTACAAAAAATTATGAATACAGAATTTTTGTTTGTTGTTTAAACAGCTAGTTGGATTGGCTGTAGTTGGGCAAATAAATATTCAAATTAAACCAGTAGACGTTTGAACATCATGTTATTTTTTGTAAGCTGTCAATCTTGCTGTCAATCTCTAGCTGTCAAGACGAGATTCTAAAATAATAATTCAATTTGTACATAGAAAAAAAAAATTGAATTTGTTCTGCAGACTGAGGTGTTCCGAGGTACGTTTTTTCTGCGTATGTGGAAAAGTTACAGATTTATACACTTAAAACAATTCTAACCTCACATCAGTTAGTACAGTATTTGTGGAGTTGAGTACATTATATGAAGCAAAAATGGTGTGTGAAGACGTTCTAAAGGTTAAAAATTTACCAAAAGAACTAACAGATGCAGAAAAAGAAGAATTTCTGAAACACTTTGGCGCTACCAAAGTCAAGCAAATAACTTCAAAGTCTCGCCAACGCTCGGTCGTTTTTGCAAGATTTGAATCCAAAGAAGTCGCAAGAGAGGTATTATTTCGTTTACATCAAGCCTATGTTCTAAAGAACCGTCTGTGTGTTGAATATGCTGTACATGACATTGGTTTACCCAAAGTTAAGAAAATTGAAGAAACTAGTAGCAGCAGCAAAGAACACTTTAAAACATTTGTAACCAAATTAAACTCATTTAACAGTTCAGTTGGGTTCCAACAGCCTCCTCCGCCCCATCTAAAATATTCATACCCTAAAGCAAACCGTTTAACCATTAATAACATTGGCCATGCTTTAGCAACTGTACCAAAATTTTATACGCAAGTGTTACATTTAATGAACAGAATGAACCTCCCCCCACCTTTTGCTGTACCAGATCCAATGAGACAGCGCGTGCCCCAGCAGCCTGTGCAACAGAAGAATGTCGTTCCACCGCCTCCACCAAAACAACAACAAGGAAGCTCTTCTGAGTCTGAGTTAGAAAGTGATGAAGAGTCTAAGACAACTAAGGAAATAATACCCCAGAAACGGGTTCTTCGGCAGAAGAAAGCAGTGAAAAGACCGAAGTTTATTAAACCGGTAACGTCTACAGTACCTAGTACGAAACATGAAAAGCCTGAGGATGTCTTTGAGAAAACTGATGTAACTACGCAGCGCAAAATTGAATTAAAAGTGTCTGCAACAGCGTTAGAGAGTAAACAAATTGAGGAGCAATCTGAACATGTAGGAACAATACCATCAAGTTCAAAGGACTCTGAAGAAGAAGATAACAAAGATAAGCAAGTTATTTCTGCAGAAGAATTGACTTCCAATCAAATTCCAGAGAAAGATTTAGATGTTTTGCCTGTTTTCAAGAATTATCATCCAGGGGCGCCTACATGTAGGCTATACATTAAGAACATAGCCAAAAATGTGGAACTAAAAGATTTGGAATACATTTACAATCGATATAAAGTTGAAAATGAAGAAGATAAAACTAGTACGTTTGATATAAGACTTATGCAAGAGGGCCGAATGAAAGGGCAGGCCTTTGTAACTTTAAATTCCGTAGAAATTGCACAAAAAGCTTTAAAAGAAACTAATGGGTATATATTAAAAGATAAACCGTTAGTAGTTGTATTTGCTAGATCAGCGCCTGCAAAAAAGTAAAAACTAAAAATACTTTGTAACTGTCTCAACAACAAAACAATATATTCTTTGTCATTGCAGTTGTGTTATTCTATCTCCCTATAAAATTCTATTATTAGCTATTCAGACTAGTGCGAGTTATTTTTATTGAATGAGAATTTGGGCTGCTCTGGAATATTTTGTGTGCATTATTTATTTTTAGATTTTGTTCCATTACAGTGCATTTTGATTTAAAATCAAAAGTCGTAATTGACGAAACGCGTCTATAAACGAAGTTTTACGGTTTACATTATCGAATACTTGCTTTACGTAGCATTTGATTTAATCACACACTCCCTGTTTAAAAATTCAAAAAGTGCGCCTGCACAAAATGTTCCCGCACGTAAAAGATTGGCAACACGAAAGCCCCTATAATCCGCTGTCACTTTTGACAGGATGCGCAAAAGTCCGGCGCAAAGTGCAAAAAATAAACATATGTATCTGTTTACGTCACAGCCGCGTCACCAAAAATTAGATTTGCCGTGGTTTGTTGGTTCCGTGGCAGCTCCTCATTATAAAATATCAATTTTGGCTGAAAATATGGAACTAGTGAAAGATTTTGTAAATAACCAACTAACTCTCTACCTGTTACCTGTGGTACTGGTTATTGTTGTAGTGATTTTAGTGTTCACGTTTGGATTCAAATCGGCAGAACAACCACCTTTCGACAAACTCACTAACGATGACCGAAAACAAGCAGGGAAAAAGAAGAAAATAAAGGAAAAGGTAGGAACCGTAACAGATGTACGAACCCTTTCGGGGTTGTACTTTTTAATTCAAATCGTTGCGGTATGCAACGGCAATCATTTTTTATCTAACATATGCTGCGGCCCCAAATGGAGTCGATTTATGTCGTTCAGTTCCCGAATTTTGCTGAAATTCTAAAATAAACCTGTTTGCTTAACTAGCCTGTATCTTTGCCAGTTTCAGATCAAGCAGATATAATTGGGAAATTTGTATCAAAATGCTCAGTAACGAACGTTAGAGGAACAAAAGAATGCGTAGTATTATCAATTTTATTTTTTTTGGATAGTTTAAAAGTGTGTGGGAACTCCACATGTTTTTATTCTATTAGTTGATATAATCAGAGCTGTTGAAATCAAGTTTAAATTAGCTCGTTATCTCCTAAAATTTTCATTCGATTTTTTTTTATACGAATTTAAATTCGTAATGTTTTCAGAGGACAGCTTTATTATTTCAATTTTACGAACCGTACGAATGCATATCTAAAATTTAATTAACAAACCCACGAGGATCTGCCTTCTCATATGTACAAAAAGATTAGTTGGAACATCTTATCAAAGTGCACTGTATATTAAAATAGGTGTATCACTCGATGAACAATCCATGTTGATAAAAAATGCCAAGACAGATCTTTAGAATAAATTACAAATTACGTAAGTGTTTTTTAGAATGTTGCAGCTTCTGCTGTCAGTTTGACAAGGCACATCCTGAATTACTGCGCAGTAGATGTTCAACTCTGCACCACTAACTAGCCAACATTTACAATTCCAAATCTAATAAATGTAATAAATGTTTCAAATGTTTCATTTCTCTGAAAGGCATCGTGTCATTTTGTTTTCATATTTTTAACATTCGTGTTTCAGACTCTTCAATAAATAAATAATTTTAGCAAGAGTTCCATATGATCGAGAAAAAGTTGTCCAACAACCTTTGAAATTAATGTTAAAAAAGTTATGTTGGTAACACTAATGCGTTTCTGATTATGTTTATTAATTTGACATTATTTATATTATATTTTTTTATGACTTACTGACGACTCTTGGATCATTTAATACTTTGTACATTTTTTTTTCTAGTTACTTTCACAACTGTGGACACATGACTTGAAATTTCACATAGCTTCGTAATTAACTAATCCTGTCAATTAATTTTGTTTGGCACAATTGTATAATATTAAGGAATGATTTACTTATATATTTTTTGTAAGTTCGGTTAAGTATTTTTCTCTATATTAAATTAGAAGATTCAAGATTACAAAAGAAAATAATGGGTTTCATTAAATAATGACCACAGTAACGGAAATAAGCAGTTTAATGTGAAAAGGGAAGCTTCTAATGTCGCAATTGGTTTCTTCTCGTTTTTTTGTTTTAAACGTTTTTTGTGTTTGGTGTGTAATTTTATCACAACTTATGCACAAAGGAAGGTGAAAAGTATATTTTAAGATTTGTAAAAACTGTTCAAATTAGTATAACTGTATCTCAAACATTGTCATTAAATAACTTCAATTTATTTGTAATTTGGCAACAAATTGAACATAATAGTGTAGTGGCATTTAAATTATTTGGTATTGAAAGGTGGCAAAAACTTTCATCATCCAAAACTTGTATTATTTTAATTAACCTTAAGTAGTACCGGTGAAGTGTAAGTTTGCGAAAACAAGAGTGCAGGTGTAATGACAAATTGTAAAAAATGTTCGTTAATATATTTATCATGTTTTTGGTACATTAAGATTACAAACAAATTACAATAACTATCGACGATGTAACAAACAGTAATCCTGATCAACTAAGTGTTAAAATAATTTGGCCGTAACTCTATTATAAACCTTGTAATCAAAAGTCGCTGAGTGTTTACGTGACTCCGCGTTTGTAGTGTTTTAAACGTGAATATGTATGTTGTAACAATGAGTATCGATTTATCAAACTCATAAAACATTTCTACAAACTATATACAAAATTTTGAGAAATAAAAATCACTGACACATGCACATTGGGTTAAATTAAAATTTAAAATTTCTAAATTAAGTAATATATTATCTACCCGTGTCAGCTTTTATAAATTATTACACTAGCATCATACTTAAAAATATTTTATCTCACTACTGATATATTTGTAGAGGTAACTTGTGCCTTGTGCATATCCCAATTTAACCTTAAATCGACGCCCAGATAGTGTTCTTTATCTTTATAGTTCATTTTTCACTTTTTTCGAACTTTGAACCTTAACGGTGTATTATCAGACAAAAACTAGATATTCCTTGTTCACTTGACATCTATTCGGAAAAATTTATATTCAATTAGATTATTCGTTTCGTATGTAAAACATTAGTTAAATGTTGTAATTATTCCCTAGAACGTAGTATGTGGTGAACACAAAAAAATCAATGTTGTTACGCAAACCATTACAAAGTTTTGAGCACATAAAATTTCCGTCGAATTTAATCAGTATACACTGAACCATGGCTTGATATGCAATGTTGAAATCATGTATAAGCAAGTAACACATTGATGGTAAAAATTAAACTTTCCAGTTCGATTAATTTTGCATTCGTTATTAATGTAGCTGGAAATTTGATTTAATTACATAACGTTTACAAATTTTATTTCAGAAAACAACCGCTAATGGTCATGTTTCTACTGGAGATACTAAAAACGAAAAATCTCCAGTGAAAGACGCAAAAAAATCACCAACAAAAGAAGCCTCTGATGTTCAAAAGCAGAAGGACAAAAAAGTAGATAACAACAAACAAATCGAAAAGAATAAGAAGAATGAAGCAATCAAGAACAAAGTCATTGAGGAAGTGAAAAATAAGAAGAACATTAAGAAGCTTTTAAACGAGAAACCTTTAGATTTCGATGACGGTAATTGGGAAACGGTACCTAGTAAAGCGGACAAGAAGAAGAAAGCCGATCAAAGTCCTGCTAAAAAGGACAAAAAAACAAAGAAGATTGAAAAAACCGCCGAAATTGAAAAGCTAGAAAAAGAAGTGGTTAATAAAGAGTTGCGCGAAAAAGAAAAGGAAGTTAAAATCGAAAAACCGGTGGAAGAACCAGTTCAAGTAGAAGAGCCTGCGGTGATAATTGAAGAAAAGAAAGAAAAGAAGAAAGAGAAGAAAGCAAAGAAAGAAAATGAAAAACCTGAGAAAGCAGTGATTGAGGAAGTTCCAGTTCAGAAGGAAGTCGTTAAACCGAAAGTTGAAGAGGTGGTTGACGAGCCCGTTGAAGAAGCTCCAAAACCTCCCGTCAGTGAAGGGAGTGTAGCATTTAATGAATTCGGAGGTAATGTATAATATTGTTTAACCTTCTGTTCTTTACCACACTGTTTCTTTAGATACATGGACAGAAGCTAAAGTACCGAAGAAAAGCAAGAAAAAAGCTCGTCGAGATAACTAGAATTAGATCAACAAATCAGATATTGTATTGCGTCAGGTATGTGATTACAACTTGTGCTACGAGACTAGATCTCAAAAACTAAAAAAGACTCAAGTAGCTGATATCACAGAAAACTGAACTCATCATTCATTTATAAACATACTCAAAAGAATTATGGATAATAGAGTGCTGATGTGGTATGAAGATAGTATTTACAATCAAATGAAAGCTTTTTTAATAAATGTTAGGTAGGGGAAGGCAGCATAGCTGCAATATTTAACGTGCATTCCATGAGGTCGTATTGTTTGTTTGTTTGGTTGTTTGTTAGTTTGTAGAGTTTCTGTATCGATTAGCAATCTGTATTTTGTGCCAATAAAAATCAAATTAATGTCTGACCTATCCAATGAAATAAATGGCCTTATAGTCTTGCAGTATGTTGCAAATATTCGATATTTTTAATAATATATTTTTGCGAAAAAAAGGTAACAATCGTAGGTTTAACGTCTTCCACATTGTTTATCATGTCAAAAAACTGTTCATTTCCAGATGTCATTTTTTCATTAATACATCAATTTTGCTCAGATACTTTCATGTGTATTAGTAAAATGCCTAATTAAGTTTATAGTGATTAACAGCGTTTATAATAGATTTACTTGAGATTATGTGGTTTAGGCAGCAACATTTTGATATCAAAAAGTTTATATCGTTCATTAAGAAAAAATATAAATAACATAATCTCAGGTAAGCCGTCTTGCCAGAAAAATATTTTTACTGCAAGTTAGTCATTTTTTATTGTAGATTTAAGAGAATGAATGTAGTGTATTTTATTTTCTATAGTTAAAATATTTTAAATGCGTGTATTATAGTGTAACTAATGTGTAATATTAAATATTTCAAAATAATGTTTTGCTGAATTGTATGTAATGTTCTGTTCAAAAGTTAAGTACGATTTGTTCTGATTGTGGACCGATCAGAATATTATTTGCCGAGTTTTGTGTACTTTGCTATTGTTTTTGCAACCTAATGACATCAGTCTATGTACAATTCCAGCTCAGAGTGTTGTAAATAATCTGTATTTGAATTTGATATTTTAAATGTGTATGTAAAAATATTGTTAGGTTTTTTTGTCACTGTACTGAATTTTCTTCTCTTGTCTGAAACACTAACAGGGTGTATAAAAATTATTTTAAGAAGCTTGTTTGTAACTGTCATTATTTATTTTAGCCCGTTACTTTTTAGTCGCCGAAAAATTTTATTATTAAATGACAAGCTTATTTGTTTCGCGGAAATAAATAAGCCCTTACGTGTAATTATACTGAATACAAATTTGAATTGTGTATATAACTGTGTTATTATATTACTTGTAGACATTTTGTATAAGGTCTGTGGAGTGTTATCTTTTGGGGACCATTTTCACAATATATTTTGAAAATTTAACTTTAATTTTATTATTTAGCCGAAATTATATGCATTTAGCCTTAATGCAATATACTGCGCTTATACCTTACCATTAACAATACCAGGATTTTTTTTTTTGGTTGAAAATTATGCATCAACTTTTATTATTTCAAATTTCGTATGTGCAACAAGTTATATTATAAAATTTAAAAATTACGATTCAAAAGCACTGTCAATTCTGTTGTATTCGCTAATTTTTGCATGAAAATCTCAGCGTTAAAACTGTATTTACGAATACGACTGTTTGTCAGGAAAAACGAATTTACGAAAGTAAGCAAGTCTCATACAACGACGACTCTTCTTTTGAATATTTAACGTCCGATGCTTTGATTCCTTTGTGACTTGAACTAAATGATGATAATAAAGATGTTTAGATCTTAGATCTCAAATTTAAATTGAAGTAATAAGTGGCAGCGGGTATAAATAATATTCACCGTACTTACCCTTTATAAAATATTCCTAATAACCGTCGTTTCTGAAGCAGTTTTTCTGCGTAATCAGAAATATAGTAAAATATTCTCTGAAATTATATACAGAGAAAAATAACTTTAGGTACTTATTTCTGATCTTTTGAAACACAATAAGTGGCACTTGTATGTTAGAATGTGTTACTCTATAAATGTTGATTAATATCTAAATACTCGGGATGATTTTGTTAACTTTTTTTTATACCTGTGTTGCAGTTGCAAATAAAGTTATTCCCCCGGTTTTTGGATGAGATAAATAAATAAGTCACACGTTACTGTTTCAACCTTTCAATTTTGTATGTCTTTTTAAGATAAGTTGCAAACTCTGATTATATAAGTTGATTGTCGTAGGGCAGCCTCTATGTGCAAACTTAAAAATTATATCAATTTATACTACAGACGGAATATAACGTGTTATAAATGCAAAATCTAGATGAAATTTACTTAACAAAACCACAAAATGACGTAATTGATTTTTTAGTGGGACTAGATTAGAGATTCGGTTAGCATCTTATCATCTTTATGATAACCTTGATTAAATTCAACATTTCAATGAAGCGATTCATTAATTTCAGAGATTATTTGGCTAATAAAGATTGGCAACAACGGAAGTGGAAAACTTATATTTTCTACACCACAAGTTATCACCACAGTGGGTTATCAACTTATCACTCAGAAGCTAAGATGTCAAGTAAAAATAAAAAATAACCAAGGTACGTTCACTTGTTTTCCAACAAGGTTAGATCAAGCAGTTACTGGATCATTTGAGCATTTACCACTTAGCACTGCAAGGAATAGAAAGGTTGAGTTATCATTGAGGTTTGTTGGAAATTTTTGTTCCATTTGTTTAAGAGTAATAACTTTAATTTACTACTCCTTTATTTGTGAGTAATAAAAAATCCATAATTGATTACAAATTTTTAATTCCTAAGTAATAAGAACGGCTCAGTCCGTTTTCTCGAAAATTTAAGTTACAGTACTGTTAAAATTGGTATTACACTGCACCATTCAAATTAATATGTGTCCCTGATAAAGTTGAAATACAAGCATAGCATGCTCCTTTACTTATACTTTAACGTATCTTTATCTTAATTTATATACGTTATCATAAAAATAAAATTAGCAAAATTAAATTTATTTATACTTGTTCGCCTGTATTTCAGGAGCAAATACCTTTAGATCAACATCTGCAAACTATTTAATACCTATTAGAGTTTCGTGACACCGTTGATAAGGAATCACAGTGTTGAGTATTTTACAGCGAGTCAGTGATGAGTTCTATTTAGAACTGTTTGCAGACAAAATTTTTGTGACCATTCTATGTGGGTCAAAAAGTTTAGGATTTTTGTCAAAGTGAGAAAACAACAATAACTTTTATGTAAATATTTCTCTCTATATACGCACTTCTTAGTGGATCCTTTATAAAAAAAAAGGTTTGATTTTCTTATATTTATATATATATATATATTTTATTTATACATCAGTAAACAAGTATCTCTTTTCCAGGAGAACATGTTAATTCCGTGAGTTAAGAAAAACTAGAAAAATAAAACTCGTGCAAAAGATTATCCTCTCTTCCTCCATTTTCCCTAAAAAAAAAAAACTATTCGCTTCAGATTTAAATTTGAATTTACTCTTACGTACCAGCACAAAGGTTACTTTCGATATTTAATAACTATAAGTTGTTTTTTCACTAAGATATATTTATCTCAAATTTGACGCATTCGCAGCTTAGTTGGTCCACTAGAAAACGTGCCCAGGTTTAGATTTAAAGTTCAAAGATATTAAAGAATCACACACTAGAGGCTGCTCTTTGTTAAGAATCTCTTATATGCAGACACTAATATAGTGTGAATGTTACTTTTGTATCAACTAAAAGATTATCATGTGATTAAGAGAGATTGGACGGTACAATAGCAGGATTAGCGACGATTACAAAATAACAGGTATTGATTAGCCATAGATGAAAACATAGGGGTTGTAACTGAGGGAACTGAGGCCCACACAAAAGAAGTGCCAAAAAACGATTTCCGAAGCAGCAAAACATAAAATATACTTACTAAAAAAGTAAATACTTATAATATTATTCCAACGAAAATACGTCCAGTCCTTTTCAGATCACAAAGAGTCGGAGATCGCAGTATGCACGTCTGAATTTTGGAACTTTTTAAATAATAATAATGAAAAAAAAAAAAAACAACTAGTTGACGTAAATTTCGCACCTTCACATTAGTGGACTTTCTTGATAACTGTACCTATATAAATCGACATGACCAACAAGATACAAAACTTTTTGCCCTTTTCCCTCATGTAAAACATGCATTTGCATGTAATTCCAGTCCTTATTTACCACTCAACGGGTGAAGATGAATAAAGAAGTGATTAAAAATATCTACTTTATTATAATTTACATGAAATTATAGACATCTGTTATGAAACAATATTACAATAGTAAATTAATATAAATAAGGATCTGTCATTTTCTTTTAGATATTTTAAATATTTGATAATATACCATATACTATTTATAGCAATGTGTTCACTCTTCATAAACAACGTTTAAACAAACACATCAAAATATCAGGAACTTCACATGAATTTTAATTTTGTTAAAAACCAAATAAAATATAATGACACCATACGGAAGCTAAATCAAAAATCACAGAATACAACCCACATGAATAAAATTCGGTTAATTTTTGTACCAATTAGAGAGTAGCAACTTTGAAGTCACTTCACTATTAATATCTTAGTTTAATGAAAAAAAAAATAAATAACTGGAAATTCAGTCTTAAAAATTGTTAATTCAACTTAACAATGTTCTTTCGTTACCACCAACATCTTTATAAAACAAATTCTGCGGGCAGTAAATTTGCAGTAGTGGCACGAAGTCTGCACCTAAATCTGAAAGCTTGATGCTCATCTAAGGTACTGTAACAGCAGTAACAATAATAAATAAGTATTGTTATTTTATCACATTTGTGGAATGTTATTTGATACACGTGTATTTTAAAAAATGAATGTTATTAAAACAGTTATTAAAAACGGCTCGACATGACCATTTTGTTATTGATGGGTCGCGACTAATTCTTTCATTCATGTGAAGTGCTAAATTTAAGATATCACAATGTTTTCTAACCATAAAAATACATACAAAAATAATACGATAACGAGATCAAAACATAAACGAAGAAACGAAATGCCTGACTAGGAATGGACTAGCTGGAAATCATCCCTTACTTCACCTTCCCCAGAATAGTGGGTTCCTCTTTCAAAAACGTGCTCGACCTCTGCATCGTCGGTGCGGGCTTCACTTCCTTACTATCGCTAGCTTCGGCCTTCCTCGGCGACGCCACTCTTCCGTTATGCATCTTCTTCGGCGAAGGCGTCCTGACGTCGACCTTTATAGGTGACGTCACCCTGCTGTCCAGCTTCCTCGGCGAGCTGGCCCGACTGTCGACCTTCAGCGGCGAGCTGGACCTGCTTATAGGTTTCCTACTAGAGAGCGCGGGGTTCGGCGTCGGCTTGCGCAGGTTCGGATTCGACACCGCGTTCCTCGCCGCCACGATGGTCGTCTGCTTCTTCTGCGGTTGCTTAGCGCTAGGGGGCGCTGGTTTGGGCGGAGGGTTCCTGGGCGTGCTCTTGATGTTCTTGGATGGAGCTGATTTAGCGGCGCTGCTTTGGGTGGGTTGCGTCAAAGTGCTGCGCCGATGGGTGGACGGGCTCGGGGGCACCTGCGGGGCTCGCGCTGCCAACAGAAGGCTTCTGCGAAGCGAAGGGCTGCCGCCGGAGTTGTGAAGACGGGACTGGGCTTGGTTAATTCCGGGACTTGAGTTGCGAGACGAATCTGAAGAACTTATTGTCGGGCTCTGACTGTGCACTTTCGTGGCTGATTGCAGGGGCACTTTTTTGGTTCGTTTGGGAGTCGCTCGAGGCAGGCGACTCAAGGGTTCGGTTACTGGGGTCAGATCTTTTATGCGACATCTGGAAGTTTAAAATAGTATTAAAATGTTAGCTATTTATCGTAATAACACTGCTTATGGAGATGAGTTTTCGTAACGATATATTTATATATTACTAATGCTATTGATACGATCCTACAGAATATACAGGATAATTTACGAATAATAATGAGTCTAACCAAGTTGAAGATGCAATCCAAAATACATTTTCAGATGTTTCGTAAATTCATTTTTTTATTTATCAAAAATACCGGGGGATTATTAATGATTGATGTAAATTTTTATGTTGGCAATTCTGTCATTTTAACAATCAATGTCATAATAAAATTTTAAATGGGTTGTTAACCTGACAAAAAAAGTTACAAACATAGTCATTCGATATTAAACACAGTCATCTAAGTTTTGACGCATATCAACGTTTGAATCCGTGAAAAACTGACATGATTTATGTCAGTATTCTCTTAAGAGCCTCCCGTCAATGGTGACAAACTGGACTAAAATAATAATCTTCTGAATGCAATATTTGATCTTTATATTTAAATTTTATAATCGTAATTGTTAGATTATGTAGCTATCTACAGCCTTAATTCTACTTGAATATCATCCCCGGCCATAAGCGTTGGTGACGATAAAATTTGAGAAGAGTGTTAGATTTCGTTAACTTAATTTTTTTAAATAGAATAATCATAAATATTTCAATGTTCTGATTGGTTTATTACGTTTTACAACATTTTATTTTTGAAACTCCAATGCGACGTTGCCATGTTATTTAAGTTTTACTGAAATTAAAAAAAAAAAAAAAATGCAAAGGTTTAAAAAAGATACGAGATTTGTTGTGGTATCAATAAAATTGAGCATTCATTAGTATACAGTGTTTATAAAAAAATTCTAATATAATATTTAAATATCAATATTTTAGTTTTTCTTTTAATAAAATACATTTTATTACGGTATCCTACTTTATTTTTATTTTCTTTATGTCGATGCGTCGGTGTGTACCTTAAAAAAGTGAAAACAGGTTCAATTTTATTGTTACTGCAATAAAAACTATACCTTTATCTATCCATACAATATTGGAACACATATGTTAAAATTAATCCTATTACGTTTTGTAAATCGGTGGATTGTTAATAAAAAAAAAAAATATAGTATAACATGGTAACGTCGCATCGGAATTTCAAAAATTGAATATTATACAAATTGAATCACTTTGTGCGCGTTCCTCGATATCTACTTAATTATCAGAAATAGAAAAAAAAGTTAAAAACCGAAATTGCACGGTTCTTTAAGGAGCATACTCTAAAATTATTTTTAACTATGCAGTTGTTCTATTTTCAAGGCCCAACACAACTTGTTTTTTTTTTTTTTAATGAAACATCCTATATATTGTTATATATTTTAATTAACTTTTTTTAGGTTTTACAATAATAGTTTATTTTTGAAATTCCAATACGACATTGTCAGGTTATTAAAATCTGTGTTACAATATCATGCGCTTTGTTGTGGTATAAACAAAATTTAATCTTTCATATACATACAGTGTTTATATATTTTTTTTTATTACAATTTTCAAATATCGATATTCCACTTTTTTGTTTTCTTTCTTTTTACTTCCCGATCGTCAGCTAAGGAAGTATTATAACCAGAGAACGGTCCATAGCCGTGCACACAGTTTTCGCAGTGTGCTCAAGGTCTAGAGCTCGCTCGAGATTTTCCTCTGTAAAACGTGTTCTTTTGGGGGTTAATAAGTCTTTCAATTTTGAACATGAACGATCCACGTCATAACTGGTTATGGGACCGTAATTAAAAAATCGGAACAAATTTTCGTATGTATGTATTTTGTTCTAATGTTTGGCTCTGTCATGCCGTCGCAAAATTGATGCAAAGTGTTTAAATCGGGGGTGCTACTAAAAACAGATTCTACTTTTATTTTTAACTTCTTCCCAAATTCACCTGGAAGCTTTTTAAATTGGGTGAGAATACTTTGAAATTTTGATAAAGCATCATGCAACTTTAAAGTTTCAGAGTGCAAATAAACTATAGTTTACGATGAATCTTGACAATTTTGTGCAATGTTAAATATTATAAAAAAATAATATAAAATGCTGGGAATATAAAAATCAAAATAAGATACGTAAAAAATTAAAAATAAAAAGTATACTGAAAAACCTCCACACAGATATATACATATAAATAAAAAGAAATTAAAATGTTATACACATTTTTGTCACTAATTTGCTATTTTACAAATGAATACTGCGCCGACTGCGCCACTTCCAAGAGCTTGATGTGTAAGGAGTACTCGACGCCTATGTACAGGTGCGTATTGCACCTAAAAAACAAGCGATAAGACTGTGATCCAAATGCAGTGTAGTCTGCCAACGAATTGATCGACACCGTGCCGCGCTGGTCATGTGCATACATGTGGTGGTCTGCACAGTTCTTAACTCCAAGGTCGCCGCCCTCTGATTATAACCGAGTCCATCGGACGACTGGCTACTTTTATATTTTTTCAACGTTTCATAACCCTCAGAGTGCACAAAAATAGGTCTGTGTCGATCTTTATTACACATTACAAATTTTATATTAGTTTTACAAGTTAGGAATAAAACGCTTCATCCCCACTAACAACAGGATGACGTCATTTCCAAAATGTTCAATAGTAAATCTTATTTAAATTTGATATAATAAAATACTCCTACACTTGTGACTTATGAATCCGAATTGAGTTTTTACCTTGGACGTTCAGATTTTTTTGCAAAAAAAATTAAAATTGCATAACGATATGTTGCAATTTAAGTTTGAAATTAGCTTTGTAATCTTGCAAAGTTGCACGGTTATGGTAAATCGCTGATCAAAGTTTATCCTTTTATATTGATTTTATTTATTGATGACGTCATTTCAACATTTTGTCGAATAAATCCTATCTGAAAACCCAAAATTTTATGAATTTTTGCTAGTGGTTTATCAATGAATATTAATGAACAAGGCAATTTATTTCATTGATCAAATCAAAAACGGTTCACCCCATTTTTCCAAAACTTAAGTATACAGTATTGTTATTACTAATATTACATTGCATCTATTCAAATTGATATATTATGTGTCCTTGCTAGAATGTTGATGACATTATACTAAAATTTTGTTATGGGAATAGTCACTAAACTCACTTGAAACTACGTACAGCACTATTTACCTGTACTTTAACACTCCACACATATGTTTATTTTAATTTATAGGAGTTATCATAAAAAAATAAAATTCGAAAAATTCAATTTTATCATTTTATTTTCTATATATAAAGTTGATGGTTACTGTGAATTTTTACTTTTTTAAGAGGCATATCAACATCTTGGAAAAATGTGGACAAAAAGCACAGTAAAATACAGTAACAAAATACAGGCTGTTCTATTTGAAAAAATTGAAATATCTATATTTGAAAATTGTAAAAATTTAAATTTTTTTATAAATCTTTCCACTACCAAAAAATTTCAAGAAAATTGTAATAACGTCGCAATGGTTTTAAAGCCTAGGAAACGGCTAATTAGAATATGTAAAAATATATATGATGTTTAATAAAAAAAACCTAAATTATGCTAACCCTTAAAAACAAAACACTCTGTATAGTAAAAAATAATTTTAGAGTATGGTCTTCAAAGAACCGTACAACTTTGCTCTTTGACTTTTTTCTGTATCTCTAATAACTAATTGATGATAATATATAATCAATGAGATATCGAAGACCGTGCGCCTAATGACTCACCCAATAGTAAAGCCCAAGGTGAGGTCAATCAGAACAATCCGCATAGATAACAATAATTTTAATGTATAATTTTTAAGGAGCCGCATAACTCCAGTATTTTGACTTTCTATTATACTTTTAACAATTGATAAAGTATCCTGCAACGTACACATACAGTGGCGCAGTGGCGGCCAATTTAAAGTACGACACCTCTTGAAAATAGTTTTTCAAAAAATTTACGTGGTGTAAACTGGACTCAATTGAATAGGTATTTATTGAAAATGATATTTTTAAATTGTCACTAAAAATTTGAAAGTTAGACCGGAAAAAGAAAAGTGCCCTACTTTATTTTGGCCGCTACTGTATTTTATTCATCAAATTACAGAAAAGAACTTTTCTCCGTTGTTTATTATGTATTCTTATAAACAATCATTATAACAACTATCAAAATTACACGAACGGCTATTTCCATGTTTTCTGGACGTTTTATTGCCCCTAAAGTATGAAATATAGGTCTCTCGTTTATTTACTTCCATCCTGCCGTCTGTCTGTGTTGACTGTTATGAGACAGATTATATCCGAAACTTTCAAACCGACGCTTACTAAAATTTGTCTAATCTGCTGTACGTATGGTTTATGAATCCGCCTTGATCTTTAATCACAATTAATTTACAAAAATGCTTCTGTTGCCACGAGTTTCATCTAAGCGATATCTCGCACACGTACGAGACAAGTAGGTCTTGTCCGGGTGATTTAAGGCGTTGAATTTGAGCAACTTGAACTCAGAAAACGTGAGTTCGAATCCCATCCTCGTCCATTTTTTTTAATAAGACATTGTACTTGTTTGACTGTCTTCAGGTGCGGGTTCTAAATAACTTTAGACCAATTTTTACTGTAATATATCGGCGTCATTATAAACAAATAAATAAATAAATAAAAAAGCAATACTGAAGCAACTTTTATACAACAGGTTGGTCAAGTTGTCTGTAATTTACCTAGTGGCTTTAATAGATTTTTGGTACTAAAAAGGGGAAAAATAGTTAAAAAATTCAATTAAGTACGGTGTCAGTAGTCAACTCACTAATAGTAAAATATTATTTTGTAGAACTATTATTTAAATAAGCAGTCATAATTTTCATTTACTTATGATGATAATGCAAGAAGTTGATATGATTTGTTCTAGAGTTCTAGACAAACCATTTAGGTGGTAAAATACCTTCTTCACAACTGTGATATGAGTTTGTACAATTAATTTTGTGAAAACTTCATTCGTATATTTT